TAATAATAATAAAAGAGAAAAATCCTAAGAAAAACAATAATGGTCCATAAGGACTTCGTCCTTTGGACCGTAAAAAATGAAAACAACAACAACCACCCACGTAACCGTGCTGGCACACAAACGCTCAAATATACCTTTACAGATAATTCAAATCAAATCAACCGCTTCAACAGGCACACAACACAACACAAGTGCACACAACGACTACACCACTCCCGATCAGTACAGCAATCCCAGCAGCCTCTACAGCAATCCCAGCAATCCTCAGCAATCCCAGCCTAGAGGTCATTTTGGGGGCAGCGTGTGGCTCAGTGGGCTAAGCCTTTGTGTCTGTGATGGGAAGGTTGTTGGTTCCAGCCTGGCCTTGCCACATCTGCAGGTCCTTCAGCAAGGCCCATAACCCTGGATGCTGCTATGGGTGGCTGCCCTTTGACTCGGTAGTGAAAGGCACTATATAAAAATACATTGAAATGAATTGAATTGAATTCTGTATATCTGGGCCTGTGGCATAGGCAGTATAGGCAAAGGCTAGGGGTGTCATCCAGTTAGAAGGGGGTGCTCTGGTGCCCCAAAGGATATGAAGGGAAGGGGGAAAATGAAAATTTTTTACTTAATTTGTAATAGTATTACTAAATATATTATTTTAAAATAATAAAAAGCTTATTAAATAAACAAGCCTGTTTTTTGCTTTGCCAGGCGCCACTCTCACCCCCGTATCACACACTGTAGGCGTCTTTAAATGACATTGATACGATTGATAAGTGTGTGATACGATTAATGGCATCTAATTCAAACAGGCACTATCATGTCAGAAAGACAAAAGCGCTCCGGTGCCTGGGGAAGAAAAAGAAGAAGAGAGGAGGAAAAACGGGAAAAAGACAGAGGTAATAATCACTAATCAGAGTAATTACCGTGTTGCTGTCTGTGGTCCGTGGAGCAGAGTGTTACTAGCTTACCTTGGATAATTCGGCATTTGCTAATTTAATAAATAGCTAGATTTAGCGTCAGTTACTTCCAACGTAAATTCATTAGGGAAAGTTGGAAATACTCTTCAGGCGTTTGGGAATGTGAGTAACCTACAGGATAATCTTCAGAAATACGTTTTTTTAAGTTGGTTGCTGCACCTGCACGAACCATCCTCCATGTCAGCATCAAGATGGTAAATTGTAATAGTCAAATAAAATGCTTTTCTGTTCCCATCCCCCTTTTAACTAATAGTTTAAAACCTTTGCATTTTTATTACTGATTAGTCTTATATGCACAGCAAACAGCATTATCATGTGAGTGACGTGCTCATTGAATGAGGTTTTGTGCATGAATGCCAGCCAGCTGTAATTTCTCTTGCTGTTTACTTTGTGTTTAGAAAGTTATAATCTGGCTTAAGTGCTGTTATTGGCCGGGTTTAATGCCACCCCAGCCAGGGCCGGTCAGTCCTATAGGCGACAT